TGGGTAGAACTCGCAGCTCAGGCAATGGCTTGCTGATGTACCGGTAACACAGTGCAGCATTTCCGTGTTGCCGACCCCTGATTGTGCAGCCAGACCCAAGGAATATTACACCGTGAATCCGTGGCACGCATCATGAAGGTATAGATTCGTGCAATACCATGCTTCTGGTGGATGCTTCTGGGCATTCTGAGATAGCAAGAACTGGCCTCAGTGTCTCCACCGCCTTTTCTTTCTGCTCCTGTGGCTATGTGCATGCAGTCCGGACAAAGTCAGAGCACAAGTACATGCAAGAAGAGACGACTCCTGGAGAGCTACTTTTGAAGCCTGCGTCAAGCGGAACGCGGAGCACAGGGTTCCAACTTCCAAGGCACGAGTGCCTCCAGCAACTCCTTCTCCTTCTTCTTCGCCTCTTCGGCAGCCTCGCACGAAGTTCATCCCGAAGCAAACTGCTCCGGTGGAAGCTTTCGCTTCTTCGCACGGCTCGCCATTCACCATTGACTCGCCTTCTTCGCGGCCTCAGCGGCCTCGGCGGCGTTCTTCTTCGCTTGCTGGAGCTCCTGCACCTGAGCTGCACGCAGGGCGCTCCTGCGCCCCCGCGTGAACCGAGCGACAGGCCAAGCCGCCAGGCCTTCTGATTGCCCTCCGTGTGCAGCTCCAGAATCTTCACCTGCCGCTGCCCCAGATTGTGCCGCAGGAAGGTGAGCCACATTCTCAGTCTTGGCTCCCTGCCGTCTTTTCGATATCACCTCGGCCGGCAGATGCCTGCTGCAGGACCCACAGATACCGACGGCCCCGGATGCGCAAAGAACTCGCCAGCATCCCCCGGCCTTGTGGGTCTCGGCTGCAGCCTCAGCTTTTGCGAGTTTTGCAGCCTGCACAGGGAGCAAAGCCTACTCGACTCACCCAGTGCCAAGCAAAACCCGGATTTGGCCCTGGCCTTCAGCTTTTCGACCGCAACCGCCTCGCGAGCAACCGCTTCCTCCACCCTGCCAGAAAGTCCAGGAAGCATACTGGGAGAGGTTTTTCGGTCTTCCTGCCACCGCTGCTTTGGGCCTCTGGGAGGCCTGGCTGATGGCATGTTGGGCCTCAGCATGCGCTCTGCGGTGCTTTGGGCTTTGGGCTCTTCTCGGGCCAGGACCTCTTCCTCCTCCTGGTTCAGCTGCTGCTCCTTGCCTTCCGACGCATCACCCATGAATACCCATGATCACCCCTGTGTTCATGTGCGACAGTGGTGCCGGTGCAGATTTTTCCAACTCCGGTCTGCAGCGCTCGGTTTTGATGGGTCGTCTGCAGACCTTGTCGCCCTTCTGCGCCAGACCTACTGCCCTCCCGTGCTCAAGACGCCATCACATGCAGCAACTCTAGCCGGCTCAAGACTTTGCTGCTGGGCCCTGGTAGTAGGCCGGAATCCTTGCAGATTCTTGGGCAGGTGACACTGATTTTCGACCGTTTTCAAAGGCAGGAAGCCCCAAAAAACCCAAACACCGACAGACAGGGCACGAACTGTTTGGCTGCATTAAGTGCTCTTTCCCGGGGAAGTACATCATCTGGCGAGGAAGCGAACATGAAAGTGCATCTTGGTGCGCTGGTGAGGGTCTGCCGGACTCTCCTGCCTGCGGTGGGTTGTGGCCCAATACGTACTTTGAGCGGAGACCTCACTATGCAGGATGCATGGAGAGCAGTGCTGCAAGAAAGAAGAGAACATGCCAACTCGCACGCCTGCCCAGCCCTGACAGAACTTCCCCATGCTGGAACCCCTCAATGCTCCGAGCTGATGCCACATGTGGCCAAGGTGCAGAAGATGGGATTTGTGGACAGGTATGTAGCAGGACAATCCCGAGCGGCAGCTGCATAGAGCGCATTGGACTTCAAGTCGTGCTCCTGGTGAATCTTTGCATTCCATTGAAGCACTTGCCCAGATCGTGCTTTATACTCTTCCTGCGACATCCATATTGAGGATGCTCTGATGCAGAGGGCACTCGCACTACACATGACTAAGCCTTTTCGAGGCTTGCCACAACTTCATGGTGACGATGATCCAGCAAATTCGCACGATCACTCACCACATGAGGTCCTGGCCCATGGGTTTGACTACCTGAGCGGTTTTCTCATGTAGCTTCAAAACGAAAGATTCAGCCCTTCCTATGATTTCGCTGTGTTCTGACGCAAACCAACGGCAGCACAGGCACCAGTTCAAGTAATGCCAGGTGCAGCACGAAGTGAAGCACTGCGGCTCCGACCACTGCAGCGAGCAGGGAACCACCCTGCAGCAGCGAATCAGTCGCTATGGCTGCTATGGGTCCTGCTGCACACTCGCCCAGCCAATGCGCCTGGAAGTAGCCAGATCCCAGCACGTCAGACTTGCTGGACATCTGGTTGGCCTCGCGGGGGGAAACAAAGCACGAGGCTTGTGATCGGCATGTGCACAGTACGAGCCCGGAGCCTTGAAAACCAATGCACCGGCGAGGATGCTGCATGGGATGGCAAACAGCTGCATGCCCAGCCAATGCACCTTTGCATAGCAAGAACACACACACACACACCCTCAGCGCGCACGTTTGGACCGGTCGCACAATGGTGTGGAGAGAGTACCTGCCCCCTAACAGGGTCCGATCACAAACGAGACTACGCCGTCACGGGAATGCAAAATAAGGCAAACCAGACACATGGGGCAACAGGGCGGGAACAATCAGCGACAGCTGCTTATATCAGCAGCAATCAGCTGCAGCAGCACAAACAAAACGGAACGAGTATGCGAACAGCTGCAATCCACGCAACCAAGATTGATGCGCGGGGGTCGGGAGTGTTCGGTGCATGCGCCGACATTAGAGCGGCGTGTTAATTCTTTTCAACATCGGCAGTCTTTTTGCATGTTTCTGCTAGCTGGCTCATTGTCGAAACCATCTGTGTTGAACACGACGCAGGACTTGCGGCACTGTTCAGACTCCAGCGCACTATGGTGAGAGTGGTGCGATGTCGCCGCTTTAATAGCATCCTTGCTTGTGGAACTTCCACCCCAGTCCGGGTGTCGCCTGATACCCAAAGACAAGCCCGCGCTCCCACTGCCACGTTGGGGAACGTTCCGCTTGTGCGCGATGTCGCTAGTCTACTGGTAGCTGTTATGACCTGCGAAAGCTAGATGGCTTGCCTCAGGGTCGCTGAAGTTGAACTTGCGGACAAAGCGTAGCACCTGTGGACGTCCACATCGAAGGGACACATGCCATGTGGGACTGTCATCATCATAGACCACCATATCTATCAGTCTATCAGGCCAGGCATCACTCCCACCATCACTCTGTAAAATTGGGTGAACTAGCTCGTAGCTCAAAGTGTTCAGCAAGCTTGGGTGCGATCAGGTTCAACTAGATCCACCTTGATCTGGTCGTAAAGATAAAGGTAGCCATGCGAGAAGATCAGCCTTAGGTGGAGCATCTTGACAGCTCCGCTTTTGTGCCCAAGCCATGTGCTCTCGAGAGGCGCAGCAAGTGTCATGCCGAGATAAGCTGGTGAAATAAAGGGGATACAGCAAAGAAGGATCACGTTGAAGATGCAATCCTTGCACAGCAGTGAGACAGTCGCAAACCTTCGCCCATCGAAACAATCTGCATCTGAAGATCGGCATATCGGCCCTGCTCCATCTCCCCCAGCTCCAGTGCCTTTCGTGTTCGATATCATCAGGGCTCCACACTTCTGCGCCTGCTGGCTTTGCCTTCTCCGCATTCTCACCTTGGATCCTCTTGTTTGCTCCAACGATGTACCTGCAGGAAGAAGGAAACTTTAAGTGAAAGCACATGCTGGAAGGAAAGCGAAATGCTTTTGTGCAGGGAGCTGCACGGACACGCAGGACATCTGCGCAGTCTTAACTGCTGAAGCACACCGAGCTTATGGCATGCAACGGTCTTCTTTTGCAGCCCAAGTGCTGGGCCAAATGTTTTGGCAACCATTGAACAGCCAGAGGCTCTGCCAGGAAAGGTACAAAGAAAGTACAGGGCCAGCAGTACCTGAGCCGGTGCTGCATTAGCCGATCAATAGCCACTTGCTTTTCGAGCAGTTCGGCCTTCCCGCAAGCACCTACCTTCAACCCATCAACCGCAGAAATGCCCGATCAATTTGTCAACGAGCACACCAGCAAATGCTTTGTCTCCCAGCTCGCAGGAAGCCACCGGTTGGACTTATCGACGAACTGAACACTGACAGTATAGAGAGCCGAGTTGTTTAATGACGGATTCTATGTTTCGAATTGCTCCGAATGCCGATCCATAAACAAGCTCGGCTAACCAGGTGTTAGTAACATCCTCCCGCTGCCACTTGCAAATGTTTAAGCCGTGCTGCACGAAGAGAAGCTTACCCACCGACTTCTGGATGGGATATGACTCGAAGATCTGCTGCAAGCTGTCCTCATACGGTCACGTGCTGAGTAGAGAAAACCGTCTGCCGTGGTTGTTAGCAAGGGCGGAGTTCACACGCAATCCGCGACATGAACCAAAGCGTCCGCGGTCACTAATCCAAAACTCGCAATGCGATCCTGTAGCGAAGTCAGATTAACACCATATCATGACAGTATCCTGCACCTTGCTTTCTTAGTACAACTGTCGGTGGAGCACAAAACCTTCTCCAGACAAAAACTACAGCCACCATGTTTGTTTAGCAACACGCCTTTTCATGCAATAGGCATCATGGGGCTGCAAGCAGCTGGGCAAGAGAAATCAAAGCCAAGGGTCTAGGCTGCCAAGTAAACGCCCATCTGAAGTGTGAGCGCCAACTCCCACCATCTGAAGGTAGCCTAACGGCTTCTGACAGGTGACATCCGAGCAAGATCGACACAAGTCTACGCCAACAACACCTACACCTAGTGCTGACCAAGGGCTAAGGTAGGTCTGCAGAGCGATGTCCATGACCAGGTTCAATATCCTCCGACCGGAGAAGTTTCGGTCAATGTTACATGGACAACTGTTAAGAGGGCGCATGTCTGCCAATGACCAGCAAAGACCCCAAGCTTTGCAACGGAGACACAATGCGGCGTTGTAAAACATGGTGTAGGCCTGCCACAGCACAATTGGCATACAAAGCCCAGTGGTCAAACATTAAGGAACCTTCCGACAGCAACATGCCATCCACGGACATCAGGTCATTTAGATGAATTGCCGATGTATGTAGGCCTTCTGCGTCTCGTCTTCGCTGTGAAAACAGGCGTGCTTGGCGCCTGGGCACTGTACACAGAGGAGAATGGTGTTCCAACAGCAATCAGGATATGTGTGTTTCCTCAGGGAGCAACCCATGGAGCTAACCACGAAGAGCCCCAGCTGCGAGCCGACGACGAGGCCTGCGTTGGAAAGGCACTTTGCCTGCATCTATACGTGGCCATGTCGGAGTTCAGTCCAAGCTGCAGATGAAAAGACCTTCAGAAAACTCGCCCGGCTCATCTCCATTCGCATATGAGAAGGAAGCCATGTAGTACCTGTGCTGGGCAAGCTCTGGATGGATATGCCTTGCAAACTGGATGTGGCATCGCAGCCGCAGGCACCCGCCATGACGAGTCCGATAAACTCCGACAACACAGCATAAAGACTTTCTACACAAAGGCAAGCGTCGCATAGGGAATGTACAGAAGGAAAGTCCAGACTGCGCAGGATGCCACCAGGGCCTCTAGCTGAAAACGGTCCAACGGTTTCTCTGACTTACCCAAATTGTCCAGCCCAGCATCGCGTTCCGAGACTGGCTCGGGCTGAAATGCGTGCTGTTCCTGAGGCGAAGACCAGTATCGCCTTTCCAATTTTGCCGCTTCTCTGCTCCGGTGTGACGGCCATGTTGTGCCAGAAGAGGCCTTCTCTTCACAACACATCAAAAGGGCGCAGCCGCCTCGTGACGTGCTTCTTAAACCGAGTGAAAGCAGTGCCGGCATTGCCAAACAGCCAACCGACACTGCTACTGGCAACAGCAGTCGGATCTGAGCGGAAGGGGCTGAGCTGTAGCTGCCCTGAATGTCAGGCCGGCCTTCGGGCGCACACTGGCCTCAGAAACGGAAGAGAAGCGCCGCCAGCATGTGCGTAACTCAGGGAATCTGCTAACATGCACATTTTTCTGCTGCGGTGCTACGTGTTGCCATGCAGCCCGGTAGCATTCCGTCAAAGAGCACGGCCGTCCTGCAGGCGCACGAAAAACACGACAGCTTC